CCAGCGATGCGGTCATGCAGCACTACACAAGCACGCGTTTGCGTTGCACCATGCGCGGTGCGGGCTCAAGTGGTGGGCGCCCGCGCGATACCGCACGACATGTTGCTGGTGATGTCGCCGAGAAGGAGGCATTGCCTTCTGCTCCTCGCGGCACTCCCAGTAAATTTCGGCATCCCGTGAGCCACTCTTGCTGCAGCCGAGTTCGCGAGAAAGCAAAGACCTGCCAAGCTGGTACACCCTGGCTACCTCGTGAGTTGCGCACCGAGAGACACATTCAGACATTCGCGCTGGCTCGGAGTTGTGCATTTGCCATTCGCACCATACGCTCAGTTGTCTTTCAGCCCGTGCCGGGAAGAAAAACACACTGTCCTCCGAGCAGGAGCCCCTGGACCCTGGAACGCTCCCGATCTTGAACGATGCCCTGGGGGCATATCGAGACGCTTGCACACTACAGCCCGAGGGTTTGGTATCCAAGTTCCTTTCCCTCGGGTGTGCATTGCCCCCGTCCCCCCCTCCCCGCCTTCACCCTCCCCCCCCCTGCCTCTCCTCGAGAAGAGGACGAATCAGCGTCCCTCACAACGGATGCCCCACTTGATAACACGTCATTTGCATGTGCAGGCGCGCCTCGCGAGAGCGGCGCGGCGTGGGCTCGAGCTTGCGCCCACAAGGCGTCTTGCTCTCACCCCTGCTCCCCTCTGGCTGCCGCTTCGCGTCCTCCCGCTTGTCCTCTTCCGCCTCCCCCACCATCCTCTTCCGTCCACCCCCACCCCCCTCTTCGCCCTCCGTCCCCTCCCGCCCCCTCTGTCCCCCTCCGTCCTCTGTCCGCCCCCCCCCCCTTCCGTCCCTCCTCTTCGCCGCCCCCTCCTTCCGCTCAGCTTCAGCGCTCTCCCCGCCCCCCTCCCCTCCGCGACTCGCCCCTGTCACGACTCCTCTCCTCACTGAACAGTGGCCTCGGCGCCATGGGGGAGGGGGTCGCCTCGGAGACCCCCTGCCCCTTGCGGGCTGCTGCGCCCGGCACCTGATCTCGCTACCAGGCGGGGAGGCGCAAGTCCCTGCCTTCCTGGACCCGCGTGTCCGCCTCTGTGTGTGTGTGCGCCGTGTGTGTGTGTGTGTGAATGTGTGTGTGTGAATGTGTGTGTGAATGTGTGTGTGTGTGTTTGTGCGCCTCTCTCTCTCTCTTTCTCGTGTTTCTGTACATATATATACGTATATATATATATATGTATATATACACATATATATATGCATATGTATATATATATACATACATATATATGTCTCTCTATCATCTCTCTCGCTCTCTCTCCCTCTCTGTCTCTCTCTCTCTCCCTCTCTATCTCTCTCTTTCTTTTTTATATATACATAGATAAATCTACCTATGCGACCACCCTTCGGGTGATAAGGAAGTGAATGGGGGGAAAGGGGGTGAACCAACATCAGACTCAATCGATATCACTATCGATCTCATTATCGATCTCACTTAACGGGACACCATAGGCGACACCACTGGACACCTCGGGGCACCACATCGATCTCAGCATCGGACTCAGTATCGATCGCACTATCGATCTCACTCAGCGGGACACCGCGGGACACCTGTCGATCTCATTGTCGATCTCACTATCCATTTCATTTTCCTGGACACCACAGGACACCACGGGACACCTCGGGGCACCACATTGATTTCACTATCGATCTCACTATCGATCTCACTATCGATCTCACTCAGAGGGACACCACGGAACACTACGGAACACCGCGGGACACCGCGAGCCACCGCGGGACGGACGGACGGACGGGCGGGCGGGGGAGAATCATTTGTCTTGACTTCGCCTTAGCAACGGCGGACACCACCGAACACCACGGGACACCGCGAGCCACCGCGAGCCACCGCCCGACGGGCGGGCGGGCGGGGGAGAATCATTTGTCTTGACTTCGCCCCAGCAGCGGCGGGTTCAGTCCTCTCGCGCGCCCACGCAGCTTCGCCTCGCCCGCACGCACGGCACGAACGAAACGAAACGATTTCCCGGTTGGGGGTCTCCGTCCCACTGCGATCTCACCCCCCAACCTCCGATAGATCTACCTATACGACCACCGTTCGGGTGATAAGGAGGTTGTGGGGGATGGGAGGGGGGGGAACCAGCATCTGACTGAATCGATCTCACTATCGATCTCACTCAACGGGACACCACTGGACACCACGGGACACTTGTCGATCTCACTATCGATGTCACTATCGATCTCATTCAACGGGACACCACGGGACACCACGGGACACCGCAGGACACCTCTCGACCTCAATAGCGGCCTCAGTATCGATCTCACCATCGATCTCACTCAACGGGACACCATAGGACACCACGGGACACCTCGGGACACCACATCGATTTCAGTATCGATCTCACTATCGATCTCACTCAACGGGACAACACAGGACACCACGGGAGTTCTGTCGATCTCTCTACCGATCTCACCATCGATATCACTTTGTGGGACACTACGGGACACCTCGGGGCACCACATCGATCTCAGTATCGATCTGACTATCGATCTCACTATCGATCTCACTATCGATCTCACTCAACGGGACACCACGAGGCACCACGGGACACCGCGAGCTGCTGGACGGACGGACGGAAACATTTGTCCTGTCTTCGCCCTGGCAACGACGGACACCACGGGACACCGCGGGACACCGCGAGCCACCGCCGGACGGACGGACGGGTGGGCGGGGGAGAATCATTTGTTTTGACTTCGCCCTAGCAACGGCGGACACCACGGGACACCACGGGACACCGCGAGCCACCGCGACCTACCGCCGGACCGGCGAGGGAGAATCATTTGTTTTGTCTTCGCCCTAGCAACGGCGGACACCACGGGACACCACGGGACACCACGAGCCACCGCCCGACGGGCGGGGGAGAATCATTTGTCCTGACTTTTCCGTAGCAGCGGCGCGTTCATTCTTCTCGCGCGCCCACGCAGCTTCGCCTCGCCCGCACGCACGACACGAGCGAAACGAAACGATTTCCCTGTTGCGGGTCTCCGTTCCACTGCGATTTCACCCCCCAACCTCCGATCTCTCTTTCCGTCCTGGCAGGACCCCCGCCCGTCACCTTGTGAGGAGGAGCAGGGGGATGGGAGGAGCTCGTTGTCGTTGTTCGCCACGCGCGCTTCTCTGAGAGCAGCTTTTTGCGTAAGAGCCCTCGTTGTGGTCATACGAACGCTACGGTCACGCTTGCCCAAGTTCGCCTAACGCAGCAGTTATCCGCGAAGGACCCACACACATGCAGCTGCAGGTACCGCATGGTGGGCACCGCGTTCGGTGGAGCTCCTTATGGGGCCAACGTGTCAGTGGTGTGCCCAAATGAGCGGGAAACCACATGTGGCCCGGGCCACTGAGGCCTTTGGTGGAGCTCTCCAGGGAGCAACGAAACGTTTGAGGGGTGCCCAAACGAGCAGAGGACCGCTTGTGGACCCTGCCGCTGGGGCCACGAAGCGTGTGAGGGGTGTGCCGAGGTGGGCGGGGAACCTTATGCGGACCCTGCCGCTGGGGCCTTCGGTGGAGCTCCCTACGGGGCCACGAAACGTGTGAAGAGTGCCGAGTCCGGCGGGGAACTGCATGTGAACCCTGCCATTTGGGCCGTCGGTGGAGTTTCCCACGAGGCCACGAAACGCGTGAAGGGTGTGCCCGAACAGGTGGGGCACTGCAGGTGGACCGTGCCACTGGGGCCTTCGGTGGAGATCCCTTGGGGCCGCGAAACGTGTGAGGGTTGTGTTGAAGTTGGCGGGGAACCGCATGTGGACCCTGCCACTGAGGCCTTCAGTAGAGCTCCCTATGTGGCCCCGAAGCGTGTGAGGGGTGTGCCGAAATAGGCGGGGAACCGCATGTGGACCTTGGCACTGAGGCCCTCAGTGGAGCTCAAATATGTAGCCACGAAACGTTTGAGAGTTTTGCCGCAGTGTGCGGGAAACCGCATGTGGTCCGTGCCACTGGGGCCTCCTGTGGAACCCCTTTACGGGGCCACGAAATGTGTGAGATGTGTGTTGACATGGGCAGGAACCCACATGTGGACCCTGCCGCTGGGGCCTTCGGTGGAGCTCCCGATGTGGCCACGAAACTTGTGATGGGTGTGCCGAAATGTTGCGGGGAATCGCATGTGGACCGTGCCACTGGGGCCTTTGGTCGAGCTCCCTGCGGAGCCGCGAAGCGTGTGAGGGGTGTGCAGACATTTGGCGGGGAACCGCTTGTGGAGCCTGCAATCGGGGGCCTCAGTAGAGCTCCCTTTGGGGTTACGAGTCGTCGAACGCAACCATTTCTTGGCGAAGGACCCAATCATATGCAGCTGCGTGTTCCGCATGGTGGGCGCCGCTTTCGGTGGCGTTCCGAGTGGCGTGCCCAAACATCAGCGGGGAACCGCATGTGGACCCTGCCACCTGGGGCCTTCGGTGGAGCTCCCGTTGGGGCCACGAAACGTTGGAGGGTTGTGCCGTAATGAGCGGGGAACTGCATGTGGACCCTGCCACTGGGGCTTTCAGTGGAGCTCGCTATGGGGCCACGCAGAAGTACGAGGTGTGTTCCCACATTTGGCGGGGAACCGCATGTGGAGCCTGCCACCAGGGCCCTCGGTGGTGGTCCCTACGGGGCCACGAAGCGTCTGAGGTGTGCGCCGAAATGGTTGGCATGGGAAGAGTAGAGGCAGGGATGGGAGGAGGCAGGCTCTGGTTGGCTCGAGTTGGCCCTGGATCGCACCGCCCCGCCGGTGAGCCCGGCAGAGGCGGCGGCGGGAGGTGGCCACATGCCCCCGCAAGCGCCGCCGGCCAGGGGACCGCGACTGCGCCTGAGCGTCGTCTCGGCGCACGTGGGCGCTTCCCCGCCGCTCGTGTCTATAGGGGGCGTGGAGTACCGCGGAAGGCTGCCTCTGCATCCGGCCCTCGTACCGCGGGGCTACGCCGCGGCGGAGCGCGCCAGCCGCGACGCCCTGGAGGTCTGGCAGTGGATGCTCCGCAAGGACGCCATCCAGCAGGACTGCTTCCTGACCGGCCCCCCGGGCCCCCGGCGCCGCCGCCTGGTGCTGGGGTGGTGTGAGCTGCTCGGACGGGAGGTGGAGTACCTGGCCCTGTCGCGGGACACCACCGAGTCAGACCTGAAGCAGCGGCGCGAGATCGTACGGGGCTCCCTCGAGTGGGTGGACCAGCCGCCCGTGCGGGCGGCCCGAGAGGGCCGGGTGCTGATACTGGACGGGCTGGAGAAGGCGGAGCGGAACGTGCTGCCGACTCTCAACAACCTGCTGGAGAACCGCGAGATGTCCCTGCAGGACGGCACGTTCCTGACGTCCCCGGAGCGCTTCGACGCCCTCCGCGGCCCGGGGGGCGCGGACGAGGCGCGGCTGGTGCGCGTGCACCAGGACTTCCGGGTGGTGGCGCTGGGCCTGCCCGTGCCCGCCTTCCCCGGCTTCCCGCTGGACCCCCCGCTGCGCTCCCGCTTCCAGGCGCGGTACATGGCGCCCGCGCCGCTGGAGCTCCTGCTCGCCAGGCTGAAGGGCCGCTACCCCGGCGTGCCCGCGGAGGCGGTGGAGCGGCTCGCCGCCTTCTCGGCGGCGGTCGCGCAGATGTCGCAGCCCGGGGCGGAGGCCCCCGGCCCTAGGCCCTGGCCGCTGCCAGAGGTCAGAGCAGGGAAAGGTACTGCTACCGCCAGCCCTGCCCCGTTTTCGCTTTGGGGGGGGCCCCCTGGGTGGTCCTCGTCGCCACGGCGGGACTCGCCTCAGAGTGCTGGCCAGAGCGCGCGCCGGAAGAGGTCGGAGGGCAGCGGCCTCTGCAATCATCTCTGCGCCCCCACCAGTAGGATGCCCTGGACGCCGCGTGCCACGCCGCAGCGCGGTTCCCTGCGGGGCGCGCTGGCGACGCGTTGCACACGGTGTACCCGCACGACCTGCAGGGGCCCGAGCCGGCGAAGACGTGCAGGGACGCGCTGGTGTGCCTCGGCTTGCTGCCGGCAGCCTCGGCGCGCCCTGCAGGCTACCTGCTCGCCGGCGTGCGGCGCCTCGCGGGCGGCGCCGAGCTGGAGGTCACACTCTCGCCGTGCGCGGGGGATGGGGCCGCCGAGGTGCGCGCGTGCGCGCCGGGCGGAGGCGCGGAGCCGTTGCTGGAGGCCCAGGCGCCGCTGGTGGACACGCCCACGCACGCGGGGCTGCTGTCCCAGGCGGTGCAGTGCGCCATGCTGGGCCGCAGCGTGTGCCTCGTGGGCCCGGGCGGAGAGGGCAAGTCGGCGCTGGCCCGCCGCCTGGCGTGCGTGCTGGGGTACCCCGCTGCGAGGGTGCACACCCTGCACGTGTACAAGGATCGGCTGTCAGAGGAGGAAAAAGGTACCCATACCTCTACCCTTCGGCAGTTTTCCCCTGTTTGGGCTTTCTGGGAAGCCCTCATCGCCACCGCTGGATTCGCCTCGAAATTCTGGTCAGAACGCACCCCGGGAGAGGTCCAGGGGATAGCGGTAATTATCGGTACCTTTTTGGTTACCCAGGCTGTGCGAAAAGTGGGCCGTTGCCGGAGTGCTTCGGTGCGGGCCCACAGGGGCCCCACTGGCGTGCGCGCTTGGATCTGCCCTCCCCCCCCCCCCCACGGCCCCCTTGAAGCCAGGCGCCAAACTCTCGCCCAGGGTCCCTCGTGCGTGTGGCCGAGAGGACATGACGTCCCGCGACCTCTTCCAGCGGCGGGGGACGGACGAGCGGGGCGACACGCACTGGGACCCGTCCCCGCTGCTGGTGGCGGCGCTCACGGGCGGCCTCTGCGTGCTGGACGGCCTGCAGAGGCTGCGGCCCGACACCACCGCCGCGCTGCAGACGCTCTGCGCCGACCGCGACGTCGACCTCCCCGACGGCACGCGGCTCTGCGAGCACCGCCGCTTCGCCGCCGCGTGCGCCCGCGCCGGCGGCGAGGGCGAGCCGCCCTCGCGCCTCGCCGTGGGGCGCGGCCGCTGGCTGAGGCCGATCCACCCCGCGTTCCGCCTGGTGGCCCTGGCGCTGCCGCCCGGGAGGAGGCCCGCGGAGCAGTGGCTGCCGGCGGCTCGGCTGCCCTGCCTACGCCAGTGATGAGGCGCAGCACGAGCCGTGTTCAGAGCGTCCGTGTCAGCACGTCGCGTGTGGGCTCGGCACGCGTTGTGCCACATGTCGGCCAGCGCATCGCGCACAGACCTACGCTGTCAGTCTTCGTGCAGAGCTCCATGCCAAGACGCTACAGCTTGCGTCAGTGTCGCGTCTCCCAGACCAGCCGACGCCATGATTTTTGTTTGCTCACGTCGACCCCCAGAGGTCTGGACCTAGTCTCCGCGATCGGTGTTTCATCCTGAGTCTTTGTTTGTTTCACTTTACCGAGGCCCAGCATGGGCCCCCCTTATAGCCAAAAAGTAGCGAACAACCTCCCGTCGTAGTTTTGTCATGCCCCGAGGGGGTCCGGGTATCGGGGCAGCTGAGGTCGGCGGAGATCTTGCCGCTCTTCGCCTGGGTGGTGGTCCCCCGCCTGAGCGCCGAGGAGCGCGCCGCCGTGCTCGCCGCCAGGTCTATGATGTTCCAACCTACTGTAGCCTTGACCACCACAAATAATCTCGAGCACCAGAAAACAAGTACCGAAACTCGAGGGTTTTCACGTGTCAAGCCCTGGGAGACACTCGTCCAACACTGTTTCGACACTCTTCTGGGTGCTCGAACTCATTTCTGGCATGTGGTCTTGAAGACTCAAGGACGATGGGAGCAGCATAACGCCAGGTGCCCGTCGCCTGGGCTCGAATCGGTGCTGCGGCTCGCGGAGCGCCTGCGGCTGGCGGCGCCGGAGGGCCCCGAGGTCGGCGGCGCAGAGAAGGGGGCCCCGAGGGACAGTGCCCCAGGGACGTCACGCCGAGCGAGCCCAGGCCCCCCAAGGAGGAGGGGGAGGAGGAGGAGGAGGAGGAGGAGGA